TTCAGTTCTTTTTCCCCCATAAAAATTTATAATTTTGCTTTCCCATACTGTTAACATCAGAATCACCCCAATGTAATCAATTATAACTTTAAATAACTAAATTAATTCATTAGATGTTTATGAGCTTCTGGCAATAGCGGAGGTACTTAACATGTATTCACATTTCTGAGCAAGCAAAAGGAATCGTTGTCTTCTGTGACTCAAAGGCAGTTCTACAGCCAATCCTGGATGGAAGCTCCCTAATCACCAACAGGATCCACTTTCACCTACATGAGCTTTAAAAGTTAGACAAGATCTGCATTCTTCTATGGTTGCCAGCACATGTCTACATCCCAGATACTGAGAACGCAGATAAACTTGGAAAAAAGCTCAAAATCTCAACTATAATAATAATGTAAATGTCACCACCTAAGGCAAATACCATAGCCAAATACAGGTTGAAGGAACTTTCAATTCCAGTAAAGCATAACACCAATGGAGAAGGATTGAAAATTGACAGAGAGTGTTGGAAAACTTATAAAAACTGTGATAACTGCTAGGACACAGAACTGACAACTACACACATATTTGACTGTCCGACCATCCTTGCTGAGTTACTAAAAATTGGGGTCTCCTTAAAGAGACCGAACCTCCATGATGATAACATTTTGCAAATTGCCAGATCAGCCATCTTCATCCATGGCTCTATTTGAATATGCTTTATCATAGACACAAAAACAATTCATTAGATGTCAAAGGGATTATAAGTTATATTTTATTTTATCTAAGAACGGGACATCTGAATCCTCAAATCTCGAGAACCATCTGGAAGATTTTAAATTCCAAACCTTAACAGCTTTTTCATCATTTGAATCTTTTGAACAAGAACGCATTACACATATTAACTCAAAGCTTTGATTACTTTTATTTGCTCAGTATCAAAGAATTTATGAAAGAAAAAAAGAAAAGAAAAAAAAAAAAAAAAAAAGAGAGAGAGAGAGAATTGCAGTTTCTGTGACATCTCAATCATAGTACAATTCAAGTCAGCCTTCACTGCTACACTATTTCAGAATTTTATGCAGCAAAATTTAGCAAACTTGTTAATTAATCAGTATACTATGCATCACTGAAATTTCTAAAAAATATCTGTCGAATCACTTTGATAATTCTGGACATATATTACCTATTGAACAAATCCAGCAACTCATGCAACAATATATAAATACTGTGTTGGGCACATATTTCAACTGCTTACAATTTGAACTCTTCAGCCATGGCTGTTGAATTTTGAGGTGTTTTTCAAATACACAGTAAATCAAAATTAATGGTACAGAAAGGAAACATACCTATGACTACTATAATGAATTTATTTCACAAATACAGATATAGCATGCAAGATTAACTCTAAAGAATTCCATACATATGCACAGATGTTCAAAGTTCATTTGTGGCAGTGATGTCTACATGATAGTTAAGTTTTTGCCACACATGTTAACGGATCCACCCTGTTCTAATTGATGATTGCTGGACCCATACAGTCAGTCAAATAACTTAGCATCTTGTCTTAAACTTCAAGTACAATAACTCCAACTAAGAAGAAAGTTTTAAAATAAATCTTTTTCATTTAATCATCAGCCTGATGATTACACAACTTGCATAGAGAAAATGATCTCCCCAGCTTACAGGAAACTCAGAAACAACACCTCAATCAAACTTTAAATATCAAATTACAAGACAAAATGCACCTACAAGCTTTTTCTCACTATCAGTCTCTCATGAACAATCACAGCTAACAAAGCTACAGATCAAGGCTGGGAGAATCAACAGCAAGATAGTAAAATGATAGCTGCCAAAAGCTTTTTCTAAAACTCAAAAACAAGGAAAATAAATACTCAAAGAGCGGCCCATGCTTCTGCACAGGCAAGCAGAACCAAGGGATGAAAAATACTTGAACTTACAATACTTAGAGCTGGAGTTGGGCGAACGCAATATTTAAGATGGGCTAGTAAAAAAGGAGTTTGTCAAGCAACATGTGTGACAATATCACAAGCTAAAGCAATTTTTGTTTGAACTAGCAGTGTTCAGCAATTTTACTGCTTGACCACTGATGGGTGAAGGACAAGGGGGAATGATATTGTGAAAATTACATTGCTTCACATAGAAACTGAAGAGCTCGATCAGCCCTTCGGTGGTTGCAAGATTAAGGAATTCTTTCTTCCCAGATACCTGCGATATCTGTCAGTTGTAAATTTGTATTGTGAACTGGTTGATTTGTGACCACAGTGATTCATGAAACTGAGCTTATACATGAACATAAAGGTTAAAAAAAATAGGTACAGAGCAGTTTTCTCCCCTTCCTTTTCTCTGTACCTGACACAAATAAGAGTATAGGCAGTAAAATCTTTTTGTCTAACATACAGGTGTGCTCTATTCTATTAAAGGCACGCATGTTTGTCTTATGGGTAGAAAACAGCACTCACAAGGATAAATGTTCCATACACTTGTTCAAAGCCTCTCTTCTTTCTGACATTTACTTCAATTTCACATGAAGCATTAACAGAGCTTTAAGAATTAGAAGTAACAAAAAGCTTCCAGTATTTGTTCGATTATTATTATAAAATATTATCATCCTCATAATAATTTCATGAATGTTTCTTATAAAAAAGCTTGCCATTTCCCTCAATAATTAAAAAAAAAGTGCAATAATCATCCAGGAATGTAGACACATTCTAATGCTAAACTAAAAAAATCTAATGAAAGTACAGATTTTAAAGCCTGTTTGATTTATTACTTTAAAAATAAAAATAACATAACAACAATAGACATAATCATGGCATGTATACTTCATACAAAACTTAGGGTAATTATAAATTATGCAAACGAGAAAGATTTTGTAGGTACCCGTGTCCTACAGCTTTCAAAAGTTACTTAAATTTCTGAAGTTAATGGGATTATTTAATATATAACAACAAGGAATTATATCAGAAACAACAAAATATATTATAATAGCACTTCCAATAAATAACCTTTCTAATAAATAACTTAATAATATTGTGAAATATCTGCTTTTCTACCAGTACAAAGCGAATTTATTAGGGGAAAATCATTAATACTTATTCATAAATCAAAGTAATATATATATACAATAATTTCGTTTAAAATGAACTATCTTATAATACTTATGATTTATTTTCATAAAATTAGGCTAAGAAAATTTTTTAAAAAAGTAATCTTTATACATGCAAAATTTTAAGTTTCTCAAAGGAAGATTTCTGTAACATATTCTCAATAATACTCGAATAATAAAGCACAAAACAAGATGTAAGGAGGAAGCATACAGATAAATATTGCTTACTTCAACATCCTCCCAATCATAATCTGTAATGGAATAACCAGGTTCTGAAGTAGGTGTTTCAACACCTGAACCTTTCTGTTTTGTAACTGCCATTTCAGCATGTCCTTTTCCCTTCGGTCCCCTCATATGGACAAATTCTAGTCGTTGCTGCCCTTGATACCAACCCAGGGATACTTTCTGTGCAAACCGAGATGATAAACTGGCCTGAAAACAAGCAAAAATTCTGTTAAAAAGTAAAAGATATAGCACATTTTTAGGTGTTTTTTTGGTTAACAGGGTACCAATCACCAAGTGCCTCAAAATGCTAGGTATAGAAAACTGTTCAGAAGTAGCTAAGCAATGATGTCATTATGGGTAGGGGAAAAGAATGAACATTGATCCAGCAATTTTTTCTTTGATACCTTTAGTTGCTTTTTTATAATATGTTTAAAAAAAAGAAAGAAAAAGAAGAAGGAAAGAATACATACTATGCAAGTAATCTCAAACTCATGATTCACAATCTGCATGTGGCCTGCAAATACATTTTAATTATTTATTTATTGCAAATACGTTGCTTATAGTTTTAGAGACAAAGATATGGATAGAGCTTATGTGCACAACAGCTACTGAAGGGAAAAAGACCGAATGAATGGGTTGGGTCTGTGTCAATGTTATTGTATGCTTGTATGTCAGGCCACATGATTAGGGTAATGTGAGAGAATTTCTCATGTTAGTAAAGTCGTAAATTTAGTCTACGAGCAGATAGATAGTGGCACTTCAATATTCTGAAATTTCCAGTTTTCTGGTTAAAGTTAAAAATAAGTGATTTAGTGATTAATTCAGCATATCCAAATTACATGAAATAAATGTCGGTCTAAAATTTAGTATTTAGCTGTCAGTGCATTTGAATTATAATTTTAATCCCCCCCAAAAGCTAGGCAAAAAATTACAAAGAGCTAATAAAATTTTATAAACAGAGGTTACAATCAATAGAACTAAGAACAAAAAGACTCAAGTCATTGGCTAAGGAGAGTTCTTGCCTCCCAGTATCTTAACTCTTCTGTAAGACCACGAAGAGCCCCACATCGGAGAAGATGGTCCCTGCCTATTTCTTCTCCAGAATCACAAAGTGAGCAAATAGGATCGCTTGAAATGTCCATGTAGTGCAGGCGAGAGGCAAGGCAATCCTAGACAGACGGAAAGCCGCAACTGCATTGCATTTTGGACTATCGGGAACAATAAAGGAGGACTTCTCATTCTATAATTAAACTGTACAAGACAGCAAACTATAACCAACAGTCATGTCTTGCAAGGGCCAACTCTTACACTTCAGATAAAAACTAAATATAAACTTCAATTTTTTTCCTTTCTTGTTATAATTATTATTGCTTATGCATGTTTTGATAAATATTCAGTTGATGAAATTTTAAATTTACCTTCTTTTGTTTTGCTAAATTTGTTTTTTAAAGTATTTTGTTAAAAAACTGTTCAAGCTCATCAGATGCTTTCAAATCAAGCATTTGGCCCACATGCAATTTGAATTTTAGACCTCTGCATTAAGTAATTGCAAATGATAAAAAAAGTTAAAGTCAAATTCTCCAAGACAAAAGTGTCCATACTGAAAGAGTTTGCTTTAAAAACCACAAATAAAAACTGAAACTGCATTTTTATTACTGGAACACTGAAATGGTACTGCCACAAAACATTGTATGGGGTAAAAAAATAAAAAGTGGCTTTTGGTACAGAGGCCAGAACACTCCTTTTATGACAGCTAGTCAGTTCATAATGAATATAAAAAAAATTCTCTTATATACTTCTGCTATCAAGAGTTCAAAGAATAGCAGCTGTCAGCAAAATGCTGACAACTGCAACTAAAAATGAATCATAGTAAAACTGTTGATTAAAATGATTATGTGTTCTTTCTTATGTCAATTTCTGTACTTGTCTTTGTTTTTGTATTTATATTACATTTAAAAAGACAGTAATATCTTTTCATGAAACTATATATAGCAAGCTGGTTAGCTTTCTTATTTTTAGTTAGATTTCATACCAATATTCGGATTTACTGCCAAGTGACACTGTTAAGCAAGTACTCATTTTTATACGGGGTGCGGCATGGAATCTACCTTATTTTTAAAATGAATAACACAAATAGTATTAGCGATATCAGTTTAACGATTAGTGATATCAGAGACACTTAAAGTTTTTTTTTTTTTTTTTTTTTAATTATTGTTTAAAAATAATATCATTACGGTAGCATCTGTTCCGGTTGATGCATTGAGAGAGTCGAATTTTGAAGTTTCTTTCTACTTTTACCAGCATATCAACAGGTATGTTGTCCATAGCAGCTTGAATATTGTTCCTCAGTTGAGCCAGAGTTTTTGGACAATAAAGATTTCAGATAGCCCAACAAAAAGAAATCATACGAGGCTAAATCAGACGAGCGTGCTGGCCACTGAAGATCGCCCCGTAAGTAGATTGTCCAAGAAAATGCTCTTCAAAAAACTATGATCCAATGATGCCTATTCTATGAACATCAAACAGTCACACGTTCTGTATGGAGGGGCTGCTCAGGAAATTCTCGGAGATTCGTGCACTCCATTATCGCATGTTTTGCTTAATGCATGCTGCAACTGGAAAGATAAAAATGAGCCTCATCGCTAAAGAACATGAGGGCATCATGAGGCGTATTGTCGAGAACGGCTTTGCATGCATTTTTTCGGGATAGAAAAATCACGTGGATTAAGTTTTTGCACCACTGCCAATTTATATGGATGAAAATGCAGTACGTTGAAAAGTACGACGCCACAGAGAATGCACGATCCTCTCTTTCCCACTGCATGATCGGTTTTATTATGGGAACCTATATGACATAAAACTTTAGATACCGTTCTTTTCAATGAGCGCCACCCCACCCTTTTCGGAATAAATGGCGCACATTTCAAATAAGGAAGTTTCCCTGCCGCACCCTGTATGATTGCAGAAGTAACCTTTATTCTGATCATAGACAGTTTGATCTCAAAACTTCAGTTTTTTAAAATGTTTAATATACACATCAATAAATATTATGCACTTCTTTTTTGCATCCTCCTTCACATGGAAAAACAATGGCGTTGGGACAACATTGTAAGCATCTTAAGTTTTACTAACGTTTATTTTATTTTAAATCTTTTCTATCATTTTATTTTACTCTGGCCAGAATATAAGCTTAATGTATTTATGCAAAGTTTGTCTGGCGAACGCCAAGTATTTAAGTTGTGGCTTTTTGCCAGCGAGGAGAGGAAGCAGTTTAGTCGAAGCGGCCGCTACCTTAGAAGTTTTACTCAGTTGCTGGTGCCTTCCAGGCCAGAGGTTTTAATCCTCTTGATAATTTTTAAATGTATTGTAGTGTTCACAGTTCTCTGTACTACATACGGCTTGTTAATATAAGGCAATCTTCCATGTTTATTTAAGTAAGTTAGGTTTAGTTTTATTTTTATATTTTTACGTTTAGACCACAAGTAGTGGGTCTGTGTATTCCGAAGTACGGAAGTATTGTAAATAGAGAAAAATAAAGGGTTTTGTATACCCTTCTTGTGTATCCTGTCTATTCCACAGTGATTGAACATAGCTTTATAAGCTCTCTGTCCGAGTCAGGTCCTTGATGTTCCCGAAAAAGTAAGACGGAACATTGAACCTGATAACATGAGCTTAAGAAAGTCTAATTTCTTGCCAAATATTATAAACACCCCTGAAAACAAATCCGGCTAAACAATGATCAATGCAAATGGGCAATTCATTCATAGCTACGGAACATAACTTATTTACTATATACCTGCAAAAGCAATTTAATATAAATTTATTACTTTATTTAATAAAATTTTAAAGCAATTCACTGGAAATTATACTAATGTCTCAAACACATTATGAAGGCCAGCATGATGCCAAAACATGAATTATGCTAAATGCAATTCTAGTGGATGGCAAGATATAAACCTCTGTTTTTTGTTGGTCATTTTTCTAAATCACGATAAATACTCTATTTTCTGACTACAGCACTTTTTTCCATCAAGGAAAGACAGAAGCATAATAAACATTTAATAATGAAAACTGTTATATTAAATTAGAGAAAATTTCCTTTAAGAAACATAATCCATGTGCATTCTTACAAACTGGTAATCATTCATTTCTTGGAAGGTATAAATATACCAATGCCATTTTTCCTCACCAAGTCCACTATAAAAGAGAGGTACCAAATATTGCATGAGCATATAATAATAGACCTCAGATGTGTTACAGATTATACCAAGTGAAATTGTGTTAAAAAAAATTTATAATAATAAAAGAGAAAAAGAATAATTCTTATTATTCTCATCAAAAAATAGATTTTCTTTTACAAGTTTCAAATCTTAAATTTTATAATAAACAATAATTTCCATTTTATATTCTTTTGCTTCAGGAGGCTTAAATTTTACTTTATTAAAAATACTTTATAAGATATATACAGTTTTATTATGATAGCCCTATATGATACAAAATATGTTTTTCGCTGCCCAACCGGTACAGTGGATAGCTTCACCAACTACTGTGCCGAAGGGCCCGGGTTCGAATCACGGAAAATGCATGGATGTTTATAAGTGTATAGTGTCGATGCAGCATGGACACTACACATGTCTCATCTGACAAGTGAGACATAGTCTGACTATACATCAGACAAGTGAGCATCAGCAACAACGTACTTTTGCACTGAAAATTCTTAGAAGGCATCAGTTATATAAATATCTACATGCTGTAAGAATCATTAGGAAAAAAATATATATATGCTCAATGCATACTAAGGAAAATCTGTTCAAACCTCAAAATAATTCAGAAAACATGCTAAGATATATGTGAAGTTTTTCCTTATCTTAACACAGATCCTTACAACTTTGCATTGGTTTCAAAGCCAAGTTTGAAATTGCATCGAGTGCTTTTTTACATCTGCTAAATTATGGAATTATGGATGCTATGATTTTTTAGAACACAGATGCTATATTTAACAATCCAATAATTTTATTATTTTTTCCATGACCTTTTTACGTATCCACGATACAACGTCTCAATTCTGGTGGTGGCTGTGTTGAAAAATAGCTGAAACATTGCTGTACTTGTTGCCAATAAGTATGATCCTGAAAGTGTGAGTTCTTTTTTTCTTTTAAATAGGGAAACTTACTTTCTGGATGCTCTATGTATATCGTACAGCCTCTAAAAACAAACTAGGATATAACAATCCTTTTCTGTTCAAGAATTGCTGATATATACTTTCAAACGAAAGCATGCACACACTTCTCAGCATATGAAGAATCATATTTAAATTCCTTTTTTTAAATCATCACTAGTAGAAATAAAATTGCAATAAAGTTTTACTTATCTGCTAAATTATAGGGATGAAAGCCCGGTGGATAATTATAGAAGATAATGAAATATCTGAATTAAAATATTACGTGCCAGTCTTATTTTATTTCAACTTGCTTATAATACAAGGGCAAGAGAATAGACACATACATTGACTGAGTAATAGTAGATGCTGAATACATGCATTACACTTGAACTATCAAAACATTGACCTGATGGTTAACAGGTAGAAAATTAAATTTAAAATAAATAAATAAAAATACATGAAATTAAAAATTAAATTCATAATGCATTTCTGCTAAATAATAATTTACTTAACACTTTTATAATGATTGCAATAATTAATTCATTATAAAAATTATTATGTACGCAATTACTTAAACAGAATTTATTAATAAGCAATACTTAAAATATTTCTCACCCTAGCATCATAAACTCTTTTTACAGCTTCATAATGAATAGAACCTAAAAATATGACAGTCTGTAAAGCTCCTTCTTTGTCTGCAGCTACAAGCTCTACACAAACAATTTCACCATCTCGAACCAAAATATCTTCAAAAACCTTTAAAGTAAAATTCAGCTCTAACAACACATAATAGAGCAATTTATTTAAAATAAACAACATATTCTTAGTAACATATATATGTTAGTAACATTGTATTTTGTCAAAGCTTCAGATACAGAGAATAATTACAGTAAATCTGCAAGTTGCATTTCCGTGCATATACAGAGAATGTATTGAAAAAATTAAAATAAAAAAAATATATTAATGCAAAGGGATAAAATAAAAGACAAACAAACTGATGACAAAAAAGAATACATCTCAAATAATAATGAGTCATAATATTAATTGTTACAGATTATAGAAATCCCTTTAAAATTCTCAAAATTTCAGTGATGCAGCTTGAGTTCAACTTGCATAACATCTTAGTTAAAGTATTATTTACACAGCTTCTTTAGACAATGATTTACGTATATATATATATAGAGAGAGAGAGAGAAATATTACCAGGACTAGTCTATTCCAACATATTGTATTTAAGAATAATTACATCTAAGCAATGTACATTCACTAAATAACAAATACTATGATAATATTTCTGTAATAAAGTCCTACTTCATATAGGCCAGAATATACAACTGCTTCAGATCCCACATGTTTTAACAAATAAATGAGTAAATAAATAAAAAGATATTTAAATGGTTTAAGTACCACTGCTTGAAATAAAACTGAATAAATATGTTTCCTTAAACACAAGAAATAAGACAATTTCTCTTTTTAAATGTAGAACTGCACAAGTAAGTTGAGTACAGTTTTCAGAAGGCATTTTTAAAAAGAAAAAGGTACTCTCTGTCTATCTACACATCCCCTCCCAACTGTTGGCAACTAATTTTTCATCAAGTTCAGATGCAAAAGACAACAGCCATTTTCAAAAACGAATGGCAGTGCAAAAAATGGCATAAAACAGAAACCAATGAACAAAATTAAAAACACAAGAAACATACATAATAAGACACCTTGCATTTCTACGCTGCTCTCGCTATGTACACAGTGATTGATATTAGCTTCAAATCAGATAATTACAGAAACAGCTATCAAAGAATCGCAGTACCTCATCATCCTACAAAATTTTACACTCCATAGACATTTAACATTCTTCCCATGTACAGAACGATCTGTTTTCACTTAAAACCTTATAGAATTGCAAAAATCGTCATTGCACATCCTGTTGTTTTCTCATGTACACAACTATTTATTTCTGCTTAAAAAAACATCAGAAAGTTGTACAAATTTGGCATTGGCCATAAATTCTGATCCATAAAATTCAATTGTTTATGTAGTACAACTTCATGAAATGCAAAGTTTTGCATTCTGTTAGGCAAAAGACTATATTTCTCACATACACAAGGCCTAATTTCTAAAATTAGAAGAGCCAGAGCCTTGTGGAAGACTGAGGAATCAAAGAGAAAAAATAAGTAAAATAGCTAAAAATTAAAATAATTCAATGTAATGTAAAGAGATAAAGACAAATCTAACAAATTATCAAATTAATTTTACATAGTTAAATAGGAAAAAAAAAATATCGGACCTTTTTTGGAGGAGGGTTGGTTGGAATTACAAGTCTACTTAGAAGCTAAGAAGCAGCTCAGCTGATCTCTGTCCAAGTTTAAGCCTTGATTACACATATAATGTACTATTGAGTGCAACAAAAACAAACATAAACAACCATCATAAACGCAACAGAAACAAATGGTGTCAGCGTGCCATGGATTGCCTATTTTGACCATAGCACGCTGCCTCATGAATACTTTTTAGGCAAGTGTGGATAATCAGAATGCACTAAAAAAATCTTACATTTCGTCAATTTGGTATTTTTGATACTATGCATTATATCAAATCAAGACAAGACTAAATACGAGTAATTACCAAATTTGCCGGCATATAAGACGTACTGGCCTATAAGATGCATCCCCTTTTTTTATACACACTTTTAAAGGATAAAACTTTATTACTGATCATTATAAAGAATTTACAGTATTTTAAATATAAATTAATAAAAATACAAATACTTTCTGCAAATACCCAATTTATCTGGGAAAGAACATCTTTTAAACTTCTTTGTCAAAACTCAAACACTCATCTCCAGAGCTAAATGAAGGAGTCAATTGAAACTTCTTCTAAATAAGCATCTGAGTCCTCCCACAACAAACTGTCCTGTGTATGATCCAGTACTTCCATGTTATTTAGCCTACACCATCACATGTAGCTTGTATGCTATGTTATAGTAATGTCGACATGGTTTCTGAGCCATAACTTGCCAAGATATTCAGGAAATTTAACAGTAGAAATTACACACACTGGAAAGTCGTTCACAAAAAAATGGAAAGAAAAAAAAAAAAAAAAAAAAAAAAAAAACAGCAGTGATCGCTGCTGACAGCTCTTACACATTCACTGAACTCTAAGTAACTGTAATATTCCTACACTCCATAAGCAAATCACATAACTGCAAGTAAAGGAAATTTCCAGAAATAAATATCAACGTACAAGACGCACCCCATTTTTAGACCTATTTTTAAAGAAAAAAAAAATGCATCTTATATGCCAGCAAATATGGTATATGCTAATTCACAGCTAATCAAAGACACAATTCTTTTAGGAGTGTCAATTTGTAAGTGTGTGCAACAACAGTGTGTCAATTTGCAAGAATCCAGGATGACCATGTATCAGGTTTTAACAAAATTTTCCCAGTACCACAACTAGAATTATCATTTACTTTCAGTTCTGCTACAAAAGTCAGTATCATATGACACTGTGAAGGTTTGGTACTGAACCTTCAAAAACAAGGACTATGACATTCAAGAAGGCGAGCATTCTGGCTGTCCTATTGATGTTACGAGAACGAGGTTAGTTTATGAGAACTTGTGGAAAAGATCAGTATGAAAACACTTGACAGTTTGCTAAGCAAGAGGAGTTATGCGTTAGTGCCATGTCCATTAGTCATGCCAAGCATCACACAATGATGATGATCACTTGATGTACATGTTCAATCACTGGGTGTTGCATGAGCTAACACAAGCAGATGCGTGTTCAACATGCACATGAACAACAAGCGTGTTCAGGCCTGCACTAATCTGCTCAAATATCCACATAAGGACAAAATTCTGGACCAGATTATCACTTGTGATGAAAAGTTTGATTAACAAAAAGATCATGCTTTGTGTATGGTGGAATTGCCATGATATTATCAGCAAAAAGTGAATGGAAAAAGGTAAAACCCTCGACAGTAAGGTGTACAGTGAGATGCTAGTACGTGTTGATACTGCTATCAAGGTAAAACGTCGAACTGAGTTCCAGTGCAAAAAGGTAATGTTCCATCAAGATACTGCAAGGCCACATGTGTTAGCATTCACCGGCTGAACTCTCCATGTACTCGAATGGGATCTTCCCCACACGCACCATATAGCCCCAACCCTGTCCTTCAGAATTCTACCTTTTTTCACCCCTGCAGCTACATCTTGCTGGTGCTATCTTTCATTCTGCATAGGACATCCAAAATGAGGTAGGTCTGCTTTTGAACTTTGCTATGTTTATTTCATCATAACAGTAAAAATATGCAATTACATCAATTGTTAAAATTATTCCTTACATACAGAGGAAAAATGGTGGCTACGGGCCTTTCTGAGTTGTAGTCACAATATGTTCTTAGCACAAATTTCTTAAAATAAGCACAGTATTTTATGAGATGAACTTTAAAAAAATGAATTAGAGGGTTCTGTAAAAATGAAACAATTTTTTATTATGTACAACAAAAATATTATTACTACTTAGAACTGGGTAAAAAAAAAAAAAAAAAAATTATGAATCTATATGAAAGGTTTCAGAAGGTATTTCAAAATGAATTTTCTGACTCCCTGTCTAATTAAGGAGCAGCTAAAAGCTCATGTAGCATGTATAGTAAGGGTCTGCCTTGAATAAACTTAGAACTTGTCATTATATGTGTAGAAGACTCTTTTAGTGTCACCAAAATTTTTTGTTTAGTTTTTTCCCCTTAAATTCCCTTAAGCTTTGAAAAATTACCAAAAATTAAAAATCTTTTGAAAAATTACTTTTTGGGCTGAAGGTTTTGAAAAATTACCAAACCGTTGTCAAAAATCATATGAGTGGTTATTACTACCCACACTAAAGGTACTGCTTTCATGTCTTTTTTTTTCTATCTTTATTATGAATGTTTTTTTGTTGGAATACTGTCATTACAACCAGATATTTTAAGTTAATATTATATATTATGAGCTACCCTCTATTATCACACTTTTCAGTATTTATTACGAGACATTTCGAGTTGTTTTCAGAGGAAATGCTCCCTTTACAATATAACTGTAATTTTAAATAATCCATAACAAGATCCCTTAATTAACAGACTCTTTTCAAAATCCATTGATTCCATGCATTTCTATGTTGTTGCATACCTTGCGTACCAAAAGTTCATTATAATATTTTTTTTAATCTTCACACTTTGGATAACCTTTTCCTAGTGTTAAAAAAAGTAACACATTCATTTAGTTACTATAACATTTGTTTTTAAATACTTACTCTAAAGTGACCTTAATCACATACACACACATATATATATGCAGTTTGTCCGAAAAATAATGTACCTTTTTTTAAAAATATTTTTTGCTCAATACCCAGTGTGTAGAAAGTGGTAAAAGTTGGCCTGAAAGCTACTAGATACTCCAAGTTTTGAAATATCTGCCTTTCCTGCATGCACAAAATTGTCAAGATGGTGGCCCACCAAATCACAGAAGGCATTTTGTGCTATGGAACACACAAAAACAATGTTAGTTATCACAGTTCAACACAACTTTCGGTGACAATCTGGGGATGATCCACCAGACAAGAACTCAATTAAACATTGGCATACACAATGCAGACAAGTTGCCTATGCAAAGGCAAAAGCACTGGGTGACCATATTCGGAGAAAACAGTTTGATAGAGTTCGGCAATCCTTCCAATGCAGCCAACAGAAGTCAGTTTGGAAAGTGAGCCCCGTTGCAGATGAGAAACTGCTAGATCCAAGAGAATGATTCATGGAATGAAAAGAATTTTGATAAGCTGTCTAATTATTCAATAAATGAACCCTAAAATCTTTACCAATAAGGCCTGCAGAGATATTTTCTGACCCAAAAGCTGCACATGTATTTTTGTACAATGCGAATAACTAATATTTTATAGTCTGCATATCTAGGCTATCAGTATTCAAGGATGTTCTACATTCTGTCATAATACCATTCACATAAATTAATAAACTTTCAATAAATGGTTCAATTTCTTTTATAATCTCTGAGTAATATATTTGTTCTAAAACTAAATTTGAGAAAAACAAAGATTCCTGATTTGAAAAAAGTTAAAAAATCTGGAATTCCAGCTACATATGGACCACAATCCCCCTTGCCTGTAGTTTATCCACAACTACTTTTCATGTTCATATTATAATCCCCTCCTTCAAAAATTAAATAACTCGTATAATTCCCCCCTTTCGATTTTTGGATGATTCAATTAGTAAAAGGGGGATTATGCAAAGAAATACAGTAATACAGACTGGAGAACTAAATAGAAAGTTTGATTTTATAATATTTACTAAACTGATTTCATAAATTTAAAACATCATAATATGAAAATTTGGATCAGCTGCATAATGATTTTTATGAACATGCTGTATAATAACAGTATTTTAAAAGTTTCTAATACTGATTTTAAAAAAGAAATGTTATTTACCTCATCATAATTGTCAACGGTGAAAAATATATTTGGATAACTTATCTCTTCCATTTCACCTTTGCAATCCATACTTCTCCTACTTGGAGATGCATATACTCTCTGAAAAATTAGAAATTACTATTAGTATTTTTAAGTAAGCTTAGCAATAAATACAATTCTGATGTTTATTTCATCATAACAGTAAAAATATGCAATTACATCAATTGTTAAAATTATTCCTTACATACAGAGGAAAAATGGTGGCTACGGGCCTTTCTCTGAGTTGTAGTCACAATATGTGTTCTTAGCACAAAATTTCTTAAAATAAGCACAGTATTTTATGAGATGAACTTTAAAAAAATGAATTAGAGGGTTCTGTAAAAATGAAACAATTTTTTTATTATGTACAACAAAAATATTTATTATACTTAGAACTGGGTAAAAATAAAAAAAATAAAATTATGCATCTATATGAAAGGTTTCAGAAGGTATTTCAAAATGAATTTTCTGACTCCCTGTCTAATTAAGGAGCAGCTAGAAAGCTCATGTAGCCCATGTATAGTTAAGGGTTCTGCCTTGAATAAACTTAAGAACTTGTCATTATATGTGTAGAAGACTCTTTTAGTGTCACCAAAATTGTTCGTTTAGTTTTTTCCCCTTAAATTCTTCAAACAAATTTACAAACTTTTTGGCTTATCCAATTAAAGCATTCTGAATATTTTAATGATGGCATTCTTATTGTATAAGAATGACATGAAAATTACATTAAGTTTTTATATAACTCTCCTCAACAAAAACAGAAAATAAATAAAATATTAAAACTTAATTAATATAATAAGATCTCAATACAACCTGTGAATTTTTTTTAAGAATCTGTAAATCTTTAGGACTTGTCCGTGTACAGACAGCACATGTGAGTGTGTATTCAAACTGTGGAGAAGAAAAGATAAACATCAGCAAAGAATTTTCTCATTCTATAATGAAGATTTTTTAAATGTAAATGTAGCACATAAATAAAGATATAAACATCAAAAAGACCTGTTGTAAAATCAAATTCAGGTATAGGGTTTCTTCCCAATCAACATCAGTATCACCAATTGGCAGCTTTCTAGAATCTTTCCTAAAAACTTCTATTGCTGTCTAAATCAAACAAAAGTTACAAAAAATTAGTTTATCTAACATCTTTTAAAAGACACAAAATTGGTATTATAAGCTTGCTTACAGCTAAACTTGCATAAAAGCCTCTTATAATACTACAGAATAATAATATATATATTTTAAATTTTTATTAACTTTATATGAATAAAGAATGTTTGTTAAATTTATATATATATATATATATAAACTTATCTTAAAAAGGAAAAGGGATGGGTGTCTATTAAATCTTTACAATTAGGTTATTATTAAAGTGTTTAAAACAGAATTTTATACAGGATAATATACAAATTTATATTAATTATAGTAATAAGCATGTAAAAATATATGTATTTTTAGACATAACAAACATGTATGATAATTCTAAAAATATAAATGTAATGCAATCCTATCTTAAATGTATGTAATACAGAGAGTAATCTTCTAATAAGTTGAAATACTGAAGCAAATTAATTTTTAATCAGAATTTTAATTTTTGCTTTATAATTAATAATCAAATTGAGAATTTTTTGGTAGAGAATGGATTCAATCTTTTTTTAAGAAACAGTTTTAAAGAATTATAGCAAAGTTAATACATATATTAACAGAAAAATTATATGCAAGTTCAAACAACTAGTGTAACTGCTACAGTACAAAAAAGCATTGTTGAACTCAAGTCATAAAAAACTCAAGTCTTTCAAAAGTTTAAAATACAAACACAAAAAGTATTTGAATAATAAATTAAAAATATGAGGATTAATTTTAATATCAGTAACAAATATAGAATTAAAAAAACTACAGATGTTCATTTTTATACAAAAGACAAGAGATACCAACTTTTCTACATATATTGTAATTCCCACAGGAATTTCAGAGATATAATCACAGAAATTTTAAAAAAATACAGTAAACAGATTACAAATTAATCTGCTAAATTTAACTGACACATTTAACCTAACCTTCAGAGCAAAGTCAAACAACAAAATGTCAAAAAGAAAAGACAGAATATTTTTCATAGCAATCCCTTCATACCAAACTTTACTACTTAAATTGCCAGTAAAGTTACACTTTGTTTACTCTTTGACAAATTTATTCTGACATATCATCACATATTTGTTTACATATCACTAGGTTTAAACAAGAACAAGCTTCAGTTCTATTCATCATCAATTTCCTAACAAAATGAATTCTTAGCACTCAGTTAATATAAAATTATTGTTATATATATACCTATCTTTTAATAGACTTCAAATACAATATTTTGCCAAATGCAAATGCCATATACTCATTAAAATCAGAACAAAATTTTAAATCATGCTTGGTTATAAAAGTTCATTTAATTGTTGATAATAATTACTAACATACTATTAATACAACTTTGAATCCCATTAACAAAGTACTTGTATTAAAAAATTTTTGAATTATCTCATACCTAAATGATAGCTATAAAAATAATGAGGTAATAATGAATATATTCTCGGATACTTCTCACTGTACATCTTCTAAATATCTATAGGGAACATATTTTTGAAACTTTTGCTTATGATTTTTATAGTGGCCTAATTAATGCACTGAAAAACAAATACAAAATTTACTCGAATTTCATAATTAAATTTTACAAATAATTGTTTTGGATAAACTTCCGTGACGCTGCATTGATGAGTTTCTGATCTGATAAAAAATTTACAGGAAGTAAATATAATTCTAGTGTTAACATTTCATGCAGGTACACAGATTCTTAGAACTGGCATACTAAGCATGTTCTATGCAACATCATCTGGAAAGTAAGAAAAACTGGAAATCTAGTTTGCATTACAAACATTGATTGATTAATTATGATAAAACTTCCATGGACTATCTTCTTAGGAAGAACCATCTTCATCATGAACTTTGAATTAAAGACTGGCTACTATTTATACACCTGATGTAAGGTACATAAACAGAACATATTATGCAACAGCCTTAGCAAAAGTTGCCAAATTTTAAGTACGTGCCAAACTCTGGTGCTCATGCACTTAACCATTCTTCCAACCATGCTCAACAATCCTTCAACCATGCTCAACAATCCTTCAGTCATGCAATGCCACCATTTTCATATGCATTCTATTTTATTGCATTCCAAATTCCAACAGTTTTTATGAACAAATCCTGATAGTTTTGGACTTTAGTTTTTGAATTTGCTAGAAATGGAAGAAAGCATGTAAAGTTTTTGCAAGACTCCAGAATTTTGCTAAAAATTTTCTAAAGGGAACAAAGAGGAAATACACTTCTTGACAGCCAGTGTTGCCAAGGGCTGCAAATGAAGACAGATCATTGCATATTTTGGGCAAAAAATGGCCCATTTTAATTATTAAAATTTGTATTTTAAATTGCTAAAGTATGTTGATAATGTTTACTAATTTACTAGAAATACCGATAATTTGAAAATCTTAAAAAAAAAAAAAAAAAAAAAAAAAATGCAAAAAACCACCAAATTGCACCCAATAAGCAACTTTTTGTAAGCAATTTCTCACTCAGTGCAATCTCTCTGGGTCTTAGATACTGCTGCTTAGTGTCTTCCTAAATGTTTTGCTGCTCCTAAATTTTGTAACAAAGTGCTTTCTCTAAATTCTAAAAAAAATTGTCACCCCCTAAATTTTGGTGCTCAGGGGTTTTCTAAGTTCTACAAATGTTGCTATCTCTAAATTCCACTGCTCGGTTCAACTGCATTGCTTACACAGCTCTGGCGCCAGTCCTGCTCACAACACAACTTTTTTGTACGTTTTAATTCCAAAGTGCGCTAGAATGAGCTTCAAGAATACAAAACTTTCAGAAACATTAAAATTAGTGACACTTGACACAGCAGATCTTTTTCTAATTCTTACACATTAATATAAGACCAAAAAAATATATTTAAATCATGAGATTTGATTTAATAAAAGAAAATTATTTCACAGATACATTTTAAAAAGTATTTTTACTGAATACAGAAGTTTGTGTTATCGCAATCAGCTTAGCAGAAGTCGCCAAAGTCTGGCAATCATGCTCATAGCAATCCTTCAGTCAAGCAATGTTATTTTCAAATGAGGTCTTCATTATTATTATTTTATTGTTTTATTTCAAGTCCCAGCAGTTTTTATGCACAAATCCTGATATTTTCTGCCTTAATTTAAAATATATGCTAGAAGACTTTGACAGCAATGGAAGAAGAAACTGTGGCAAAATTTCTGGAGGAATATACAACTTTGCCACAGTATCTCTAAAAAAAAAAAACATAGAGACTGTCAACGATTGCATGAGGCCGAGTCTTTGCAGTTCTCATATTTTTTCAAGCAAAAACCAGATCACAGTGTACTTGAGGAGAATTGACAAAAAGATGACTTATTGAAAGATGCAGAAACAAATATGTTTTACTTTTTTAATGTATTATATAATCCTTACTTAATAATTAAAATTTGCATTTTAAATTGCTAAAGTGTGCTTTTTTTTTTTTTACATGTTAATAATGTTTGCAGATTTCTGATAAATATCAATAGTTTGAAAATCTTTTTTAAAAATAGAATGGGAAACCTGATAAATATATTTGGTACTACTCTTATATGCGTCCTCAGGTTGCCAAATGTGGCGATATGTGTTCTGCACCGGTTTTTGGCGTGACTGTGTGTTCTGTGAGTTTTTTTTTTTTTTTTTTTTTGTGCGATGTTGTTTGTATGGCAACCCTTTTGACATTGAAACTTGATTTTGCTGTAGTGATTTTATTTGTTTGTTGGTTTGGCGGGCATTTTGAAATGGCTTATAACTGTCAGTGAAGTTTAAGATTTGGATTGTGGTTTTTGTGTAGTAAGTTTGAAGGATGTTTTTATCGTTACTTTTGAAATTTTAATCTCAGAAAGATGCATAAGTAGAAAAATCGTGGCACTTTTGTTCACAGATGTCATGTGACTGCCGAAATTTTATTCACAAATGTATGCTGGATTTTGTATGCTCTGTGTCTCAGAAGATAGGGGAATGTGGTGGAAATGGATGATTTTGCAGATGTTTGAAATTGATATTTTTGCTGTTTGATGGTGGTGGTAATGGAGTTCTGGCACGAAGCTCTGAAGGCCATATGCGTCAAACCACAGGATTCGTTCTTCAGCATACAAAACTACAGTACAAATTTTAGATACAGGAAAAAGTCTAAAGATAGCAAAAATAGAGGCAAGTAAAAAGATATTGAAATGGTAGGATGAAAATGCTGATTATGATTCAGATGAAGAGCTATGCAGTATAGATATAAAATCCTAAAACATCTAATTAATTAAAATTCTAACATAAAATCTCAAGACAAAATCAAATTAAATAATAGAGACCCGTTTCTTGCAGGTAGTGAAACAAATTGGTATTGACCTCTCTTCCAATTAAACGGTCGAAAGGCAGGTCGCAGCTATTAATATACTTCTCACGAAGACTATTAAAATGTGGACACATAGTGATTTCCTATATGTTTTTACCACCAATCCTCGAATTCCATATCACAGATTTATGTTCCTACTGCATTGATATAAATATTAACGAGACATAGTGCACAATAAAAATTAAGCTTTATTTCGGAACTTCGCGCACACTGCCCACTGCCCGACAGCCTGCCTGTTTCGCTCTGCTCGCTACTCGTAAGAAACTTCTCCTCTAGGGTTGCCACACTTATCAGAGGGCGCAAGGCGTGCTTCTTATCGCCATCACCACAGAGTTTCCCCCCAGTTCCTTTAATGGCTATTCAAAGGAACGACATAGGTTATGAAATTATCTCAGAGGATCTGTACTGTCGGGTATTTTTTACATGATTACAAAATTAGAATATAAAATTAGAAAAGATCAAAATGCAATTCAATATATAACAAGGTATTGACACATATAATAAACATGAAATAACAAGAAATACGTTAAGATATGAATTTTAAAAAAATGTTTTAAATTGTTATGTAAGAAGCAAGTTTCTTAGGGAAGTGAACATGTCTTCCCGATCTGGTGACAGTTTGTGTCTTAGA